CCCCCCCCAGTCTGTGATCCAGGTGGATGTGTGTGCCAGTTCACACTATAGGTGGACTCCAAACCCAGGCACCTTGTGCTGGCTTTGGGATGGGCAGATGGCCTGGTTGGGCTGAGCTGGTCAGGCCAGGGCTTGGAATTGTAGGATATAGCCTCAGGCTATCCATCTGGGGCATGAGGCCCCAGTTCAGGGGGACTCTGGTGTTGACCAGGAGGACCCAGGCAAGGACTCCTTTTGCTCAATAAGCAGGAGGTCTCACCCCAACCCTGATGGCTCCCCAGAGCCTGCTAAGCAGAGCTCTGAGAAGTGTGGGAAGCATAGCTCCACCCCTACTGCCCACCCTCTGGCCTCATAAAGCTACAGGAGCCCAAAGCCACTTTGGGGGCCTGATCCCTTTCTCAACCCTGTCACTGCAGCGTTCCCCATGGTGCTCTCTGATTGTCATTCACTGTGGAGGCGGCTCTGGAATGTTCTTGTGGAATGCTCTCCTGGCCGGCTAGGAGTCTCCTCTGGCCAGCCCCAATTCTCTTGAGAAAGCCATAAGAGCCAAGAGCAGGAAGGGCACATGCTGAGCTCTGGGACTGGACACTCTGGAACCTCCACAGAGACACACAACAGAGGCCAACATCTTAGAGGCTTTCTGCCTACCTTGGGTTCACCTTCTGTCCAGGGCTAGCTAGGCACACGTCTGTTTCCTGGTGTGGTTTCCTTAGACTTCCTCTGGGTGCCTGAGGTTATTCTAACTACTGCCAAGAAAAAGCTTATAGCAAGTATAGAGCTAAATCCCGCAATACATTTCCCAGCTGTGCCAGCCAGGTTGGCATCCTCGCCACTATCCAGTTCAGTCCAGTATCTGGCTGCAGAGGAGGCTATGACAGACAGTTCCATATCTTCTGAAGGCGAACTATGGAGATGGAGTTGGGAGGATTCTGAGTATGCACTATGCAGCTGGAGCTGGGAGGGTTCTGAGTGTGCTCTATGGAGCTGGAGCCGGGAGGATTCTGAGTGTGCTCTATGGAGCTGGAGCTGGGAGGATTCTGAGTGTGAGCTGTGGAGATAGAGCTGGGAGGATTCTGAGTGTGCTCTACGGAGATGGAGCTNCTGAGTGTGAGCTGTGGAGATAGAGCTGGGAGGATTCTGAGTGTGCTCTATGGAGCTGGAGCTGGGAGGAGGATTCTGAGTGTGCTCTATAGAGTAAGAGAGTAGATGATTTGGTTGAATGTGTGGTGATGGAGTAGGGAGTGGATTATGCTATTGACACATTTATGTTCTGAGTTTATTTTGGAGTTGTTTTTTTAATAGAAGAACAGTAAAAATTTGTTTTTGTTCTTTGTGGTTGTTTATAGGATACTATTGATTGAGAATGTCATTTTGTGTGGAGGGCTATTCTGTGCATTTGGGTCATTTAGTAGCATCCCTGACAACTACGCATAAGATATTAGTAGTACATCTCCCCACCCAACACACACACACACACACACACACACACACACACTTATGACAATCAAAAATGTCTCCAGACATTGTCAGATGTCCCCTGGGTGAAAAATCATCCCTGTTGAAAACCACCACATTTTAGAAAAAGGAAATTTGACCTCTAACTCATATCACACAGAGAGTTAACTCCAGGTAAAGTATATATTTAAGTCTGAAAATAATCTGTAAAGCATTTAGAAAGTAATATGTAACTATAGCCTGTGGGTCCAATGTGATCCTCCCTTGTTTTTGTTAATAAAGCTTTATTGGCACACAGTCACACCAATTAATTTACTATTATCTACAGCTTCTTTTGTACTAAAATGGCTGGGTTGAGTAGTTGTTACACACTCACTGACCCTCAGAACCTAAAATACTATCTGGCCCTTTACAGAAAAACTTTACTGACCCCTATGATAGGAGAATATTTTTATGACCTAGGGTAGAGAAATATTTCTTTCTATCTTCTTTTAGTTTATTGATTTTAGAGAGAGAGAGGAAGGGAGGGAGAGGGATGGGGACATCAATTTGTTGTTCCACTTACCCAAGTATTCATTGGCTGATTCCTGTATATTACCTGACTGGGGATCGAACCTGCAACCTTGGTGTATTGCAACGATGCTCTAACCAACTGAGCTACCCAGACAGGGTTGAGAAATATTTATTAAATAAAACACATAATGCTCTAATTATAAAGGAAAAGATTTAAAATTTGGGCTATGGTAAAATCAAGAATTTCAAGAACAAAGTTGGAAGGATGATGATACCTGACTTCAAGACTTATTATAAAGCTACAGTAATCAGTACTGATCAATGGAACAGAATAGAAAGTCCAGAA